GGTATCCGACAGACGGCGCTGGCGTATACGCGCGCGCCGCAGCGCGACGAATGGCATCGAAAATAAAATACTGATTATCAATGTCGGAGTAAACATTTTTCTTAGAATACTTCATATAATTTTTTAGAATTTTTACATAAACTTTAGAATTTCTGTATAATTTTATAACTTTCTAAAAAATTTTTTCAAATTATTTCATACAAATTGAAACAGTTTTTCACCAATTGAAAATTTTTCTAAAAACTCTTCATATAATTTTTCAAAAATTTTCGAATTTTTATATAAATTTCAGAATTTTTTTTAAATCTCCGTAATCTTTGAACTTTTTAGAATATTTTTCCAGATTTTTTATACGAATTGGAACAATTCGCCTAGTAAAAATTTTTCTTAGAATTCTTCATACAATTTTTTAGAATTTTTATATAAATTTCAGAAAATTTTAGAATTTCTGAATAATTTTATAACCTTATAAAAAAGTTTTATAAATTTTTTCATACAAATTAAAACAGTTTTCCCCTAATAAAAATTTTTCTAAAAATTCTTCATATAATTTTTCAAAAATTTTCGGATTTTTATATAAATTTCAGAATTTTTTTTAGAATCTCTGTAATTTTGTAACTTTTTAGAATATTTTCTAGATTCTTATATACGAATTAAAATAATTCGCATAATAAAAATTTTCCTCAGAATTTCTCATACAATTTTTATATAAATTTCAGAAATTTTCAGTTTTGTATTATATAATTTTTTGAAAAATTTCTCAAATTTTTTACATGAATTGGAACACTTTTCAGAAGTTCTGATAGCCTATATCTTTTCTAAAATAAATACATCATATACGTAAAATCTGAAATATTCTGACTTAAAATTTTTCATTCTACAATTTCTAAAAAAAACTTATCTAAAATCTGAAAAACGTTAAAAGTAAGGTTTTTTCAGAAATTTTCATAAATTTATAATTTAAAAAAATATAAGATATTATGCGAATTCTTCTTCACTAGAATCATTGATAAACGCAATTAATACACTTTTTAATGGAAATAATAGGTGCTTATTAATGTTTTTGACATAACTTGAGCAATACAAACAAATACTAAACATTGAATTTTATTAGTAGTTAGTTTATTAATCAATAACTAAAATAATTTTATATTATATTAGGTATTAAATTTAATTCCTGCCGTTTTTCATCTCCAAAATTGATTTGTTTCGAAGGGAAATACCTTAATCAAAGTATTATTAATAAAGTAGAAAATGGAGGAAATTACTTTTAGGTATTCTGTCATCTTCCCTTCGAAACATATCAATTTTGGAAACGAAAAACGGCAGGAATTAAGTTTAACACTTAATATATACAAAATGATACAAAATGAACGTAAAATATAGAATTTATTTTATATTTTGTCCTGTTTTGTTGTTATTCTCTTTTTGTTATTATTCTTTACAGTATTCTTCTTCTTATCATTCTTTGTCTTGATTCGCTTTAATGGTTTTTTCACCATTGGTTGCTCTTTCACCAACTCATTCTCGTCCATCGGCTCAATTACTTGACCAAGTTTGGTCTTTACTACCGGCTGAATGAGTCGCACATGAGCGTTCATTGGGACGAAGGTCCTACTGATGGGAGCTCTAATGGTCGCTTCAAAGTCCTTAACTCTAGTAAATGGATAGGGTAACTCTTTGACGAGGTGTTTCTTCAATTTCTCATTTTCATGTTCGAATACTATGACGTCACCCTGATTTTCGGATTTACGTGGCATTTGCTTGGGAACATTCAGTATAAATCGGCTCTTCTTACGAGTCGCTTTACTCTTCTTGATATTCGGTCCACCCCAGCTTCCCCATCCAGGTAGACTCAAATCAATATTTTGCGGCTGCGACTTTTTCATCTAGAGAATCATTTTGAGTATATTAGATTATTATAACAGTTTTTATGTAAAAAATAAAATACAATGTCATTCAATATTTATTACGCATATTTATTTCTCAAATTTAAGGGGATACTGGAGTGACGGTCGAAGTTAATCAAGGTCGATAGTACAGACTTTTTAAATTCCAAATTCGACAATAGTGACATCTTTTATTCATTTCTTATACTTATTATATATCGTTGTGTCTCGCTCAAACGCATTCATCTGTCCTTATCTAACATATTGCAACGCCATCTCTTAGAAAGAGATCAACTAAAATACTGCTCGGTTTCATGGCTTCACGTCAATTTTATTCGTAGTATACGAACGAAATTTTTGGCGACTCTTTTCTCTTATACCAAAGTTCCTATCTCGTTTGTAAAAACATAGGATTGTTCTTCAAGGTTTTCTGTAGGCTGCTGGCTACTTATTTTAAACGGGTAAAATCCGAAACTTTTATATGCAGCACATATTGTGACGAGTTGACTGCAGGAGCTGGTGACAAAACTACAATTTTTTATTTTCTTTCATTTTTCGCATTAAATTGTAGCTGGCAGCCTATGTTGTTGTAGATACTTTAATTGTGGAGAAGAACTCTTCAATCCATAAACACAATTAAGAGAAGAGTCTTTAAAAATTAATGGTAAAACAGGACACTCCAGCATCCCCTTAAGGGAATGCTGGAGTGACGGTCGAAATTAATCAAAGTCGATAGTACAGACTTTTTTA